TCTCCTTCTGTGTGATCTACGGCCTCCAAAAACTCACTGGAGTCAGTCACTATGAGTTAGTTCCTACTCAATGATAGTGAGTCACTTTAAAAAAAAAAGGAAAAAAAATCTAAAACAAAACCTCCAGCTACACTCCTAACGCCAGGAGAATTGGTGGCTGTTGTCTCTCTCGCACAGAAGACCAAAGTCAAATTGCTGTTGAGTTTATTCCAACTCATGGCCATCAGAGGGGGAGGAAAGCAGGTGGAGTTGAACTGTCCTGTAGGTTTTCAAGGTTGTATATGGCAATAAGCTGTGCTGCAGTTCCTGAAGGTACACGGTTTGAATCCACCAGCCGCCCTGTGGAACAAAGATTGGCAATCTCCTCCTGTGCAATTAACTGCCTCAGAAAATCCACTGGAGGGTCAGCTATGGGTCGGTTACGACTCCATGATAACAACAACATATATTCACAAAGGCAGACTGCAACACCTTTTCCTCATCAAGCGAGTGGCTGGTGAGTTTGAACCATTCCGTTTTCTTTAGCAGATGAGAACTTTAATCACTATGCCATCGGGGCTCCAGCTTGCAGAAGAATTACCCCATAAAATACTAGAGTTAAGGGGCTGAGTGCTGAAGCTAGAAAGGCCAGGGGACAAGGAGAGGTCATAGGCTGGGAGTTCCCATGTTAGGATTGCTAGAGACAGCGGGGGACCAGAGAGACCACAGCAGACAGGGTCTCCGGAAGCTTAGAGTAGTGGTGGCTCTGGTTCTGGATTCCTAAAATTTAGTGCGTTTTCCTCTTTTTTTAAATTTTATTATTATTTTTTGTGTGTGCATGTACCGTCAAATCAGATCTGATTGGTACAGGAGGAAATTGTCCCTCCTTCTCCAGCAGAGCATCTGGTGGATTTGAACCGTGTACCTCTGGGATTGCAGTGCAGCTTCTTGCCACTAGGACACCAGAGCTCCACAGTGCCTTTTCTTTATCATCATCTGTCTCTTGTCAGTAGATCCAAAAGATGATAACAATAGGAATCATCTTCAAGAAACTGCTACAATGCAAAGGCTTATTAGCATCCTTCTTAATTTATAAATGAGAAAACTGACGCAGCAGGAGGTTGGAAGACATCGAGTTTCATAGGTGGAGTTGGGGTTTCACATTCAGAGAGGAGTAGATTATGCTCAGGTGAGGACCAGATTTTTTTTTAATTTTTTAAAAATAATTTTAATGAACATTTATAGAGATTTTAGATTTCCATTCATTCATTGCTGCACTTCTCTCCCCGCCCAGCTCTCCCCCCCCCAGCCCCCAGTTCACTCCTCTCTTTGAAAAGTAAAATAAACACTCCCTCCCTGGTACACAATCCCACCCGCACCCTTCCCACCGCCCCAAGTACATTCCACTATGCAACCTTAATTGTAGACTCTTGTGATAACCATAATACCCTAGCATACATCACTTTTATTCTCTCCCTCATCTGTTTCAGTGCAGTATATACAATTTATCCAGTTTTTCTCAGTCTTACCACAACCCTGGTATCAGTCCCATTTTACAGCAGTGGCACCATGCAATATTTGGAGGACCAGATGTTTAAGTGAATGAAATAGTTCACCAAACAAATGCCATGAACATGCCAAGCTCCTTGGGCCCCAGGACCTGTGCACTTGCTCTATCTCTGCCCAGAGCATTCTCCTCCCAGCCATGTTGGCTTCTAATTGTTGAGGGCTCAGCTCAAATGCCACCCTCTCAAAGGTCTTCCTGAGTAACTTGTTAATGCTCTGTGTTCAGATACCCCCCCCCCCTTTTTTTTCAGGGCACACTTCGGTTTGGAATATGTTGCATTATCTGCTTAATGTCTGGCTTCCCTGCCGGACCACACAATCCACTGGCCAGGGACCTCACTTGTCTCGCCTACAGGCTTTCCCCAGCATCCAGCTCGGCACTCAGCACACAGCAGGTGCTCAGTAAACACTGAGGGAAGGAACGTCTTTGCTCTTCTGCTTAACACTTCCATTTGTTGAGCTGGGGAAGGGAGTTGAAGAAACAAGAAAGGCGGCCAGTCACCAGCCTGCCTGAAACTAGGGTATTGGTTCCTCCAGCAGCTGGAGGGAGGAGTTTCCACGTAAACCTCCATTCCTGCTTCCGGGACACACACAGCCTGTCCACATCAGGAGCCTCAGTTTGACACGTTGTGGGTCTTTCTCCGGAGATCCAGGAGCGAGAACAAGGAGCCAGACTGATGCTGTCTCGAGCTCCCAGCTGAACTGAGAGTCCACCACACAAACTCGTTTCTCTTCCTTCTTTGCTGCGTGCTACTTAAATCGGCTGACATTTAAGTAGACACCGTGGCATACTGGAGTGGCTGTCACACTGCAGTACGACTTGATGCCGTGACTTACCAGTGGTGTGACCTTAAACTAATCCTCAGTCCTTCTGGACTGTTTGCCTTATCTAAAACTACAGTTAGAACTACAGGAACCAATGAAGCCGCTTCTAAGAGTTCCTAGAGGGTGTAATTAACACGGTAGATGGATAGCATTCAGCATGTTGCTTGGCCCGAAGTTGGTAATTTTATATTGTTGTTGTTATGTGCCATTGAGTTGCCTGCAACTCATAGCGACTCTGTTTACAATAGCCCTAAACCCTGATCTATCCTGTGTCAATCTGTCTCTGACATACTCACCCCCATTACCCCAGTCACTGAATCAATCCATCTCACAGAGGGTTAAATTATTTTTTTACACCGAGCTCTGCTGCTAATGACCTCTCCAAAGTGCTAAAGAGGAAGAGTATCAGTTTATAAAGACTAAGTTGCACCTGGCCCAAGCCCCGGTATTCTTGCCAGTTGCTTCCTCTGCATGTGAAAACTGGACATTGAATAAGGACGGCTGAAGAAGCAGCCATGCCTTTGAGTTGCGATGCTGGCAAGGAACCCCGAACATCCCACGGACTGACAAAAGAACAAAGAAATCTGTCCTGGAGAAAGTGCAGCGAAGGTCTTCCTCAGAGGCGAGGACGGTGAACCGTCGTCTCGCTTACTCTGGGGGATGTTTTCAGGAGGAGCTCATCCTTGGAGAGAGACATCAAGCTGGGAAAGGGAGAGTCAGACCTTCGGTGAGATGGACTGAGACAGTGACTGTTAACGATGGGCCGGGCATAGCGGACAATGTGAGGACGGGCAGGAGAGAGCAAGGGTCAGATCTATGAATAAACAAGAACCATCCTGGTGGCCAAAACTCCAGAGCTTAGCTGAGATTCTATGTGACACCCTGGCGGGTCTCCTTCTCTCTCTTGAGTGGTTTCCTCATCTGTTATCTCTGTGTGTATACGTCTGAGCGGGGAGAGGGAGGGATTAGATCTGGGTTTAGCATGAAGCAGGCATTCCTAACAGGCTGTATGGGGAATGGTGCTCCCCACTGCATCTTGTGTATCACATAGAATGCTGAGGAGAAGAGGAGGAGGAGGAGGAGGAGGAGGAGGAGGAGGGAGACACGCAAGTGCCTGTGTGTGGAAGTCCGGCATCATGGCCCTCGGAGCCGAAGGCTGCCTGTCCTGTTCCCCTCACCCAGGACACCCATTCCATTTTGTCATGTGGCCAATGTCAGAGCCAGGCCAGCTGCAGATCTGGAGGATACAATGAGGACACACCGTCTGCTCGGCCCCCAGCCGACCATGAACCAGCAGTGTGACCAAGCAGTAGTCAAATAGCGGCCACTGCTGCCCCGTCCAGCTCTCCTGCTCAAACATCAGCGATCATCTGGAGATGTTTCCTGCAGCGGCCAAGTCAGGAAGCAGGCAAGCTGCCCTCCACCATTGCCAGGAACGGGGGGGCAGGCGGATGTGCGTCTCCCAGGCCCTCGCCCTCTGCGCACTGGACATTCTTCTGTCCTTACCAACTGCCACGTGCATGTTTCCTTTCCCGACTCCCCTCCCAGGACCGCCTGGGATCTCTTCCCAGATGAGTGACTCACACAGGGAGGGAGTGTGTCTTGAACTACTTATCTACTTAACCTCCGGCATCCGCACTCCTCAGGGGGCTGGGGCGAGGATGAAATGAGAATGAGTCAGGAGACATAAAGCACTATTTGCTTAATATGTGAAAATCAAGACAAAGAAGCCTTTATTTACTGCAAACCCCACTCCTTGCTGTCCACCCTTCAAGCTGACAGACACCAGGTTATAAAACCACCTTTGAGGCACACACAGATGTGACTCAACCCACTTTCCCATCACACTGAAGGTGAGTGAAGGTCAAGATGTGTGCTGGGTGGGGCCAGCTGTCTGCAGAGCCCAGCAGAGTTCTGAACAAGCAGGACCACTCCCTTCTGGTCTCTGTGTGGCTGCCAAAGTCAAGGTCACAGGTAGAAACTTAACCTGACAGCTGTTCCCTGGAGACTGATATACACACTATGAGGCTTTGGTTGTGAATTTCTACATCCTTCTGTTGTTTCTAGTTGACCAAGTACCATTTGAGAGGATTGATTGTGTGCCCTGGGAGTCAACCTCTTGAAGCTCTGTTGATAAAGTGGCCACCGTGGGGCAGTGACCGGCCTCCTTGGACCTCAACCTCCCCAAAGTCTCCCTGGTTGGTTTTATTAAGTTTCTTGGCTGAGCTTCCAGTTTGGTGAGAAAACCCAGGGCTGGAGTGAGATGACAGAGTGAGGCGTGGTGTGGAGCAGGCCGGATGGACAGTCAGCGGTGGAGGCCACGGAAGCAGGCCAGCTCGGGGGCTCGCTCTCAAGTCGTGGCGGCTGGGCCCTCACAAATGAAGCTGACACCTGCACAGGTGCTGCACCCCTCGCTGTCCAGCGCCTCCTTGGCAGGGGAGCCCTGGCCCTTGCCGGGAGGAGGTCTAGTCTCGTCTCTGTAGCTCCCATGTTGGGGCCACTTCATACCAGGGTTCCCCAAGTCTTCTTGCAATCTGCCAGCCCGGGTGCCTTCCAGGCAGAAGCCGTGTTCCAGGCAAGGAAAAGCTCCAGCCCTAACGGGGACTCCCCTCAACGACAGGGGCACGTGTCTAAGGCACCCTCGTGCATGGGGTTTCAGGAGATCCCACGGGCGGCATCTTGGGAGGCGGGCCTGAGCTCTGAGCATTGCTGGGGGACGTCCTCATGGCCAGTGAGGACTTGCTTCCCTCTGAGACGCCCAAGAGAGCTGAGGATGCTGGGGGGAGACACGAGCCCAGCTGAAATGCTCTCAAGGGGCTCACTGGGGGGGAGGCTTTGTCCCCGCAGCAGCAGTTGCAGCAGGAGTTGGCCACGGTGTGGGCCTCGCCACGCTCCTCCTGACCGTGACACTGTTTCAGGTGGCCACACAGGTGGCAGGTGAGAGTGGAGTAGACAATGCCGCTGCCCAGGTCATCCACGAGGGGGTCCATGACCGGCTCTGGGGAGAGTGGGGGCTTGTGGCTGTCCTCTCCCTTCACCGCTGGCCGCACAATGAGGGGCTCTGAAGAACTGCTTAGTGGGACTGAGCTCTGCAGGCTGTGAGGGGGCTCCACGTCCAGGCCAAAGGTGAACAGGGGGACCGACACTGGGGCCGAGGCGGCAGGGCAGCCAGGAAGAAGGTTCTGGAAGGGCTTATAGCCCCCTTCCCCACCACTGGCCTCACCCCCAGGTTTCCCCGGGCAGGTGGCACTGCTGGCGAGCAGGCTGGAGAAGGCCTTGTACCCAGCTTCCCCGGAAGGGCTGGAGCCCACGGGCGGGCTGTCCTGGGCGCTGCCCAGCGTCATTGCACTCACAAACTCCCGGTAGCCACTGGGGGGCGTGGATGCGGGGGCTGGGGCAGCTCCACACTGCAGGACGCGCTGGCGGAGAATCTGTTCCCACGTCTCCAACTCTGGCTGGCACGAGGTGGGCTGCTCCGAGGGCTGGGGGGCATAGGGGGCCTGAAGGTTCACTTCCTCCAGGTGTGAGGCCGGCTGAGAGCCCGAGTCCAGCTCCTCTGGACCTGGGGACGGGCTCTGGACAGCACCGAGGCTGCGGTAAGCGGGGTTGTCGGCAATGGTGATGGGCATTTTGGGGAAAGCCACGCTGGCTGCCTCCACATCCTTGCCCTGCGGTGCTGCCTCCACATCCTTGCCCTGCGGCGCTGCCTCTTCGGAGCCTGGATTTGGGAGCTCCACCCAGGGCACTTGAGTACTGTGGTTTCCTGATGGCAGGGAAAGCACTGACTCCCCTATATCCTGTGCCCCGAGGAGGTCCAGGAAGAGGCTCTCTGTCAGCCGGGCCACGATGCCCTCCCTGCCCTCCTGGAAGCTGACCCCACTGGGCTCCGGCGAGGGGCAGAAGCTCCCTTTCTCTCCTGCCACTTCCTCCTCCTCCTCCTCCTCTGTCGCCGGGGCCTCCACCAGCTCCACGCGCCGCACCACGCTGATGCTCTCCGGCCACAGCACCACTTTGCTGAGCTCCACGGGGCACCTGGCCGACTTGGCGGGGCCCTGGAGTGGCCCGGGCCTGGAAACCTTGGGGGGATCCTCACCCCATTCTTTGTCATGCCCTAGCAGACATGGCAGGAGCTTGGTAAGACAGGTCTTCCAACGTCTGCAAGGCAAAGACAAGCTTGGTTGGGGGTCAGCTTTCTCTGCTTGGAAAACGTCTACACATCCTTCAAAGCCTGCCTTGAAATCACTTGCACTGACGTTTATCTGCTGCAGACCTGCCTCTGGGTCTTAGAATCAATCCACCCGGCTCTTCCCTACCTGCTAGAGAACTGGATTACAGACAGGGACTCACTTTGAAATTGTAAGACCAAGGCGTGTGACCTGGCACTTATGCTAAATTCAGTCTGTTGACAAAATGCAAGTGTTTATTGGCAAGTATGTTGTTTAAGATACTTGCCAACACCATGCAGAACGTTGTTAAGATACATCTAAGATGCTTACAGAAACAATGACCAATCTGGACACCCTTCCCTCTCATGGAGATGCCCACCACGCACTGGATTGTGGGCAGGTCCGGAATGGCGTCAGGGAGGCCAGGGTGGTGATGGGATATTGGTGGATATGGTTACATCAACCAATTAGCCGGCAGTTACGCCAGCACGGCTCCCTTATAGCTAGGCCTTTCCTCTCTCAGCTGTGTTCAGGCTAGACTGGTACCTCCAAGGACCTCAGCCCTCTCCCCAAGGGATCCCGCCTGTGCTAGACCTACAGATGAAACAGAGGCCTTTGCCAGTGACCCACAACCCAGTGCCCTACCTCATCCCACCCAATGTCTCCGGACAACTGCCGGACCCCAGAGATGAGAGGGCAGAGGTGGAAGTGGGCAGCCGTTCAACAGGGCCCTCCATCCACATCCGTCACCACAGAACCCGCTCTGGCTACAACCTAAGTTCATATACGTACGGGCACTTGGCTGGTTTCTGGGTGCGGGACCGCTCCCCCCACAGTGACACCTGAAACAGAGAGAAAGAGAAATCATGAGACAGCTTAGGGGCATGCGTCCAGCCTGGCCTGGCACACGGCAGAGCTCAGGAACGGAGCCCGAGTGCTGGCCAGGCACCGCAGCTCTCTGAATCCTGGCTTCCTGACTGGCAACGTGGAGCTAACACGGCCCTCCAGTGGGAGGGGTGGGGAGTGCTGAGGAGTAACGAGATTGTCCTCATATTAACGGGCACTGTGGCCAACAGGGAGCTCTGGTGACCTAGCAGTAAGGACTCTCAACACAGAAGCAGAGGGTTTGAATCCACCAGCTGCTCTGAGGGAGAAAGTGGGGCAGTCTCCTCCTGTGAGATTTGCTGCCTCCGGAAACCGGCTCAGGGGATTGCTATGAGTCGGTTCTGACACAGCGGCACTGAGTTTTGGTGGCATGGTCACAAGGCCAGTGGCAAAATGACCACAGGTGCTCTACAGCGACCTCCACGAGATGGACTGACAGTGACTGCAGCCATGGGCTCACGTGTGTCACAGATGATAAGGGTGGCGCAGGACTGAAAAGGGTGATCTGCTGCTCACAGGGTCGCTACGAGTCATCTTCGACAGCGCTTAACAACAATAACCCCCAACACTGGAACCAGGTCTGGCGCTGTGACCTGCTCTGACTGACGGAACGAGGTGGACAGTGATGGTGGGTTATCTCTGGAGCTTGGACTCAACAGGCCTAGCTAGCAAGCTGGGACCAGCTGTTGGAGGTCACAGCCCTTCACTCGGTCACCTCCACCCGCGCCAGCTGCTGGAGGACACGGCCCTTGGCTCGGTCCATTCCACGGCTCCAATCTGTGAGTGAGTCACGGGTGGGGTGGGAGAGTTGGGACAGCTCCAAGGAGACCTTCCCAGACCAGTCCAGACAGCTCCAAGGAGACCTTCCCAGACCAGTCCAGAAACTCCACCTCCTCTCTGGCCCCAACTTTGGCCAGCCCAGATCAGAACTGCCCTGCTGACCCCACCCCACACACAGTCACGGCCCTGAGCCCAGCCCAGAAGTGCTAAGCTCAGGCTGAACCCCCCACCTGCAGACGCTTGAGCTGAAAAAGTAAGAGCGGTTTCAAGCCTCTACATGTTGAGGTAATGCTTACGCTGCAGAAGTGACCTGATGAAGCAATGTCACTCTGGTGCAGGGCCCTTTGTGTAGATTCTTTCAGTGAATCCCAACTTCTTTCCTTCCATATTTTTTTAATAACTGGCTTTCTTCCCCCCCACCCCCAGTATATGCCTTTCTTTTAATTTATCTTATCATTCACTTTTATACATTCATATGCATTGTTTCACCATGTTAATCTTGTTTCTGCAATCACCTCTGGACATTGTGTTTTATGTAACTACTCTTGCTCTCTCACCTTTACCTCCCAGTGTCCTCAAGTGCCCACTGCACTTAACCTATTTCTTCCCCCTCCATCCCCCTGCTAATCTCTGCTCTTCCTTTACTTTCTGATTCACACAGTCAAAGCACCGCCCAGCCCTACCTGTGACTCCTGGATGATAATAGTCAGGAGGGGGCTGTGGGCTGGATTGGGAATCTGGTCCCACCATTCTTTCTTAAGCCTGAAAAACAAAAGAAAAGGGTGTTGAACTCCAAACCTCACAGAACTTATTAAAATGTCCTGATCAGAATTGGTTCAATGGCAGTGGGTTTAAGAATACTTGGTTCTGGTGGCCTAGTGGCAAGATACTGCACTGTAATCCCAGAGGTACGCGGTTCAAATCCACCAGATGCTCTGCTGGAGAAGGAGGGGGCAATCTCCTCCTGTACCAGTCAGATCTGACTTGACAGTACACATAAAAAGAATACAATTAAAAAAAAAAAGAATACTTGGTTCTGGGTGAGCTCTGGTGGCCTAGTGGCAAGAAGCTGCACTGCAATCCCAGAGGTGTGCAGTTAGAATCCACCAGATGCTTTGCTGGAGGAGGAAGGACAATCTCCTCCTGTACCAGTCAGGTACACACACACAAAAATAAAAATAATAATAATAATAAAGAATAATTGGTTTTGCACAAAATACGATACTGATTCGTTGCGGGATGTTAAACCACTGAAAGCAAATGGCAGGGGTTCTACTCTTAATTCCGTTCGACAGGTAAGGAGGAGGCTGAAGGCCAGACAGGTGAAGTGGTAGAGGGTGGATGGCCTCCAGGTTCACTGCTCAGCATTCTGCTACCCAGCATGGAGTTCCGACGTGGCCACCTCTGTCCTCGGTGGGAATGAGGTGCCAAACGCTACAGTCAGTCCTAATGAATTAGGAAGAACGCAGGCCTTGGTCTTATCAATCAACTGCCGTGCATCTGAGAGCTGGACAGTGAAGAAGGTTGATAAAAGAACTGAGGCCTTTGAACTGTGGAGTTGGGGAAGAGTGCTGAATATCCCATGCACTCCTACGAGAACAAACAAACACATCCTGAAGAAAGTGCAGCCGGAGTGCTCCTTGGAGGCAAAGACGGAGAAGCTTCATCTCTCATACTTTGGATACGTTGCTGGGAGAAGCTATTCCTTGAAAAGGGACATCATGCTTGGAAAGAGGGATGGTTAGCAAAAGAGAAGAAGAACTATGAGATGGATTGACACAGCGACTGCAGTGACAGGCTCAGGTGTCAGAGAGGATGAGGATGGCACAGCACAGGACAGGGTTCAGGTATGCTGTTCACGAGATCGCCGTGATGTGTACTTGACTCGATGACACCTAACAACAACGACAAGCTGCAGAGAAAGAATTCTGGGTTCTCCCGTTACCATGCTCTCGAGTGATCCTGAACCAATGAACTTTTTAAATTATTTTTGTGCGTGTGTACCGTCAAATCAGATCTGACTGGTACAGGAGGAGATTACCCCTCCTTTTCCAGCAGAGCATCTGGTGGATTCGAACCGTGTACTTCTGGGATTGCAGTGCAGCTTCTTGCCACTAGGCCACCAGAGCTCCCTGAACCAACGAACTTTTGAGTTAGGAGCTGAAGGAATGCTTAACCACTATGACACCAGGGCTCCTTCCATGCAAAATAGCAACCTGAACATCTTTCCCCTCCCCCCTGGAACACCTCCTTCAAAACATGGATCAGTAGAGAGACCATCTGAGTTACTGGTGGACCTGGCAGCTTCTGTCTCCCTACCGGGAAGCAGATTTTCTGGGTGCAGAGAAAGGGTGGGTCTTCCCCCCAATGCCTTGAGCATGCCGCTGTTGTTGTTAAGTATCACCAGGCCGGCTCTCACTCATGTTGACTCTACATATAACAGGATAAAATCCTGCCTGGCCCCGCGCTGGTCCCGCGCCGGCCTCATCACCTCGGCTGCGCTGAAGCCCGCTGGTGACGTCACTGTCGATACATTTCTTCGAGGGCCCTCCTCCTTTCTGTCCGACCCTCTGCTTTTCCAGGCACGTGCCTGATGCATGTGTGTTGAGGACGCACCGTCCCTGCTTATGACGTGCACGCTGGCTGCCCTTCTGTAACAACAGGTATTTGTTCCTTGGCGACCCGTGGTACCTTCAATAGCATCCATCAACACAATTCAAAGGCACCGACTTTTCCTTTGGTATTCTCTACTCATTCTCCAACTTTCACATGTACATGAGGCAAAGGAAAACACCACGGCTTGGATCAGGTGCACCTTAGTCCTGAAAGGGACATCCTTGCTCTCTGCCATTAAAGAGGTCCTTTGTAGCAAATCTGTCCAATGCAGCAAGTTGCTTCATTTTTTTTTGAGTCTCATGGTCATGGACTGATGCTCAGTGGATCTTTATTGCTGAATGAAAGGACCACGAGCTGACACATCATAGCAGGTATGCTTTTGTGGAGCCAGTGGGGAGAAGAGCCTTTGTCTCCCACCCTGCAGCCCCCACCTGAGAGGAGCAGCTCAGGAGTTCCCAGGACTCACTTGAGGACGATGAAGTAGCTGGACACGCAGACGGCCAGGATGATGACGCAGGAGATGCTGACAACCAGCGGGAGGCGCTGCTCGAGGGTTTTGTCGTAGTCTGGAAGTGAGAGGAGACGAATGAGTCGGGACTTTGACCACAAACACTTTCGGGAGAACCCTCCATGAATCACAGAGATCTCATGAGCAGCTCACCTGGACTTTGTCCATGGTGACCCCACTAAATAACCCTCCAGCCACATCTCCTCCTCGGCCTTCCTGCTCACCCGACTCACACTGCACTGGCCCCTGACCCTCCAGAGCTTGGCACCACCTCAGGAACGTCCTTGGCACCACCTTGAACTTGCTGCAATCTCTGGCCTGGAGCTTGGAGGTCAAGCTCATAGACTCTGGAGCCCAAATTCCTCAGTTCAAAGCCTGATTGTCATTTCTCTTATTAAATGACCAAGAACAAGTGCTATTATGAACTGAATTGTGTCACTTTCAAAACACATGTGGGCATCCCGATGTCCGTGTTTGTATGCATATAGTCTTATTTGACAATGGTGGTCCCTTTACGATGTTAATAAAGTCATACCAGAGGAAGGCAAGTATAAAATCCGACCACTTGTGATTTAAAGAAATCAGAAGACACAGAAGGGGTAACAGAAGGAAGAAGGGGCAGAGCTAACATGGAGACCACCATGCAATCAAGGAACACAAGGGCTTACAGAAGCTACCAGAATCAAGGGTCTTCCCCAGAGCCAACAGGAGAGAACCCGTGAGGATCTCTTAACTTTATCTCTACCCTCCGTACTTCCCTTACAGCAGTGCTGTGGGCATTACACGATCCAGTGCCCTCAGAACAGTGCCTGCACGCGTGACGTATGTGGGAATCAACCCAGTGTCAGTGAGTAGGACTATTTAGGAACACGGGCAAAGCACACGAATGGCAGCACCAGTCACTCCGTCACATCACATCAGAGTCGCAGACATTGTAGGATACCATTTACGCTCATCCACGTGAAATTAAATACATATGAGGTCTGTCACTAGATCTGAAAGCTCCAGAAGGCTAGTCATAAGGAGCTGGACTGCCAACCCAAAGGCAAGCGGTTCAAACACACCAGGTGCTCCGGGAGAGGAGGATGGGTAATGTCCCGTGGAATTTACAGCCCCTGGAAACCTGCTGGTAGGTCAGCTATCAATTAGTTCTGACTCAGTGACATCCAATAACAACACTGTTGTTGTTATATGCCGTCGAGTCGACTATGACTCACAGCAACTCTCTGGACAATAGTTCTGAACCCTGCCCCATCCTGAGACAGTCTCACTGGCTCTGACACACACTTGAACTTGCTATTTAATGTGTTAAGAGCAAAGGATATTTATCCCTAGATAACAAGTGGGTTTGAAATAGTTTATAATTGCATTTCAATATGACGAATTTCCTTTGTCAGGAGCTCTGATGGCTTAGGGGTAAGGAGTTGCACTGGCAACTCAAAGGCACGTGGTTCAAATCCATCAGCAGCTCCATGACAGAAAGATGGGCAGTCTCCTCCCACGCAATTTACAGCTTCTGAAAGTCCTGAGTTTCCTGAATGCTCTATGACCTATTTATGATCCCCTATGGGTCAGCTCAATTTCAGCTCTGAAAACTAGGCTCGGAGCTGATTGTGGAACAGACCACCAACTACTCATCTGCAAGTTCAAGCTGAAGCTGAGGAAAATTAAACCGAATCCACAGGAACCAAAATATGAC